TTCAAATAAGAAATGCACAGAAAGTGTGGGGTTTTTATAAGGCTGGCAGAGGAGCAAGGCCTCTAGGAAGTGCCTGGCCTGGAGCTGGAGGCATCTAGAATCTGAATCTCCTAGAAAAGAATGACCAGGATGATGGTGTGATCTAACCTCAGCACAGGTTTACTGCTGTAGCTTTCAACTCATTCTCCTTGGAAGTGTTTGCCAAGCCCCAGTTTCTCCCAAAGATAGCTATTTACACATTTTAGCTAGAGCTACATAGCAGCAAGTTACTCAGGAAACAGGACAACTGCTCCCCTGTGGAATTTTTGTCTGTTGTCAGGTGCCTCTCAAGATTTGTCTATTATCTTGGAAGTATTTTCAGTGCAATTAGTCTGTCAAGTTTCCTAAGGACCTTTCAAGCACCATTCTACATCTCCTAAACAGCTTATGGGAGATTTACAGACATCAGTGCAATGAAAGCATCCTTTGCTATGACCATAACATCTGTGTTATGGCCATTGTTTCAAATTCCTTGAATAAGGCACAGATCAAAAGCTGTTACCACCTGCTAGCTTAATATCTCAAGGTGATGGTAACTTTGTGCATCATTACAGTGAATTTTCTGCTGTATTGTGACTTATTTCAGTGCAAAGATGCTTTATGTGAGGAGCCTGTTACGTGGAAATACAGATATTGAATGAGTCTAATATAGATCTTGAATTGACTCCCCTTTAAATGGTGGCTTGGTCAAGTCTGTTCAAAAGGGAATGTAAAACATGAGTTTGTTTACTTATTTAAATAATTACTGACATATAGAGTTAGAATTATGGAAAGCTGCTAGTTGATACTTGTTTTTAAAAATTCTGTGCTACATCAGAGCAATGCTAATACTGACTTGCTTAAGTGTGTTTATAATACCAACTACAGTATTTGCCTGAAATCAGCGACTGGAAGTTTTGCAAAAGATGATCTGATTAGTGTCAGAAGGGGAAAAAAAGAAATGGTGAGTTACAGAAATTTTAATTTCAGAGTGTATAAGCCAAATAACATAAGTTCTTATGTTATCATATGCCTTCCTTTCATACAGAAAAAAGTATGCACCACTTACATGTAAACAAAATCAAGTGGGACAGTATTTCCAGGAGGGAGGACTTATTTATTTGCCTGAAGGTATGTTAAGACTACAGCTTGCTGGTGGAAGCCACATGAAAAATACCAAAACAAACAACAAAACCCATCACATTTTTCAGGTCAAAAATGAAACTCGCAGCAGCTGCAAGTCTGCTTTATAAATGGCCTTTCTGCACAGCTCCTCAATTTGCTCCTTAGTATCTCAAGAAACATGAAGTGCTATTCTTGTACAAACCTCTTCTCCAAGTAGTTTTTTTGTTTATCTTGCTTCATCATACCAGAGTTTTTTAAAGAGAGGGACATCATGTTGTACTTGCAGATTGCAGTCAAAACTAGTTCCAGATCTTTCATAGGCAAGTGGGTAAAGGCAAATACTGTGTACACGAGTGTGCATAGTAATTTGTCTGCTATTTCTTAATCTCACCTCAGTATATAATTAAGTCATTAGTTCAATTAATTGGACCAATTTTAATGACTGTTAAGGCCTGCAAAATAAGTGGTGTACCAAACTGCTATTACAATAACTGCTGTTACATCAAATGCAGTTGTAATTCCCCTTATCATTGCTAAACACTTCCCACCCTTTGGCTTTCACAAGGATGAGAATGACTGGAATCTGCTACTTTCTTTTCTTTCTGAAGACCCAGTTCAGGAAAAATAGGGGGAAAAAATCCTGGGCTTCATAAGAAAAATCTGAATACAGATGACAAATGACAGTAGAGTAGAAGGTTTCTCAGCAGAGTGAACTATGCCTTTTTATGTGTTGCTAAACACTTCCCACCCTTTGGCTTTCACAAGGATGAGAATGACTGGAATCTGCTACTTTCTTTTCTTTCTGAAGACCCAGTTCAGGAAAAATAGGGGGAAAAAATCCTGGGCTTCATAAGAAAAATCTGAATACAGATGACAAATGACAGTAGAGTAGAAGGTTTCTCAGCAGAGTGAACTATGCCTTTTTATGTGCCATGGGTTGTACAAATGACAGTAAAGTAGAAGATTTCTCGGCAGAGTGAACTATGCCTTTTTATGTGCCATGGGTTGGTTGGATGGATCCCCTCATTTTATATTTGCTGTTGAACATAGCAATAATTGAATGTTTTTAGCAGGAATCCTGCTACCTGGTGCTATTTTCTTTTCAAACCATGCCACTGGAGGGAACCGAGGCACATTTTGAAATTTTTTCTTTTCAAACCATGCCTCTGTGGAGGGAACCGAGGCACATTTTGAAAATTGAGGATAGCAGAGAATGCAAGCCTTGTTCACATGGCAAATGCTGCATCTCTGCTGTATGCAATACTGTTGTTGTGTTAAGACACACAAACCCTGCACAAGTTAGACCCTAGCCAGGAGGCAACAATTTCTTGTGTTGAGTCACAGCCTGCAAAGTCGGGGTTTGCCTTAGGGCACTGACTATTGGTTTTGTTGAATAGTGTAAGGCTGTTTTCTTCAAAGCCCTGTTGTTACCTTGATTTCAGAGTTTTGCTGAATGCTTTGCCTGTGGGGGAATCCTTTGTCTGGAAATTCATGAGTAACCCTGAGAAACATCATTGCTTCACAAAGGAGGAGGATGAAGTAGTCATCAGTGAGTTGATCTCCAGACAACTTCCTTAGCAACATTACATTGTTATGCATACAAGAAACCTTTATTCTTGTTTTGGTTGACAAACCTCTTAACTGCATATTGCCTGTAATGTGGATGTCGCTGGTGGCAGATGCTACCATTACATTGGTGCTTGAGCTAGGATTTGGGGAGCCTTCCACAGCAAAAGTTTAGCATCATGGGCTAGGATGTAATAGCACTTTCAGGCATGCATCCAGCTATTTCTTTGTACGTGTACATTTCCCCATCAATTAGCACAATACATTCCCGTTCCCATCCACTGACTGGGTGTCTACAAAAGCCTGAAATTCAAGGAACTCTTAGGCCAGCATAAATTTTGCACAGATGATTTCACAAATCTGAGAGCAGCAGCTCCCACATTTTACTAAACTTTTTATCTACTTTGGAATTTCATCTAGATATCAGTCATATAGGCTGCTATGAAAGGCCATTATGCAGAGAAAATGAAAAATCTAAATTAATACTTGGTAAACCTGCTAACAAACCTTTCACATCACAGAAAGAGAAACAAAGACATCCAAAGGTTAAATGACTTAACCAACATTTCTTAATGCAGCAAATACAGCTACAAACTGTATGGCTTATGATTTCCAGGGTGCCTCTGCTCCCCATGTTTTGGTGATAATGGTACTACAGCTGGGCACACACTGTAGTGAACAAATACTGCACACATACAGCTTCACTAGGAGGTTCAGGAAGTGAGCACTGAAGAAACCTCATAGGAAGAATTTTCCTGCATTGTTCCTTGCTCTGGCTCAGACACTGGGGACATCAACAGTACTCAAAGAGAGATGCAATGCTTTTACCTTGCCTGATAGATCTGCTGTTAGAACATCTTGTCCCAGGATATGAATGCCTCTGTAACCTCTAAGTGACTAATATGCTTTGTCTTTTTAATTTGTCTGACTTAAAAAAGCAGTACACAAAACTCTCCATAACATTATACTTCGCTTATATTCTCACCTTTGTTTCAGGACATTAGTGAATGTGCATATGTGTGAACGTGTGCATAATTAATAATTAAAAAGGCCCATGCAGAGCTTTCCTTAGGTCATCTGAATTCCCAGTCTCTCCTTTATTTTCTACCCTGCTTCCCTGAGAATTGAAGTGGGAGAGATGTAAGCTATACCACGTGGTCAACTGGCTTACACTCTTACAAAGAAAAGGTTTCCAAAGTCAATCATTCCTAACTGAAAATATTCCATTTCCACTGCTTCATTATTCCTCTCTGTCAGTTGTTTGCCAGTGTTTTCTAGGCTTGAGCACCACAGAAGGCTTCAGCTGACACTTGGAGGACAGCAGTGCTTGAGTATTTGTCATTCAAGTCACTGCAGACAGGAAAGACCAAACTTAACTCGACCCTGCTGGCTGGGCTTGTTAAATGGTTTGAAAGCCTGTCAAGAAATATTTCTTGATTAATAGGAATCACCTTGTGCATTAGTTGTGCTTTTCCCTCAAACTAAAGGCATTATTCTTCATTTTGGATGTGACAAGTCATAGCACATGTAGCAAAGCACAGTTCAAATCCCTGAAATGAAGACACAGATTTCTCTGATTTCACACCCTTAGTCTTCAAACTCAAGATCTGTTTCATTTGAACTAAGGCTAATTTAATGAACAGAAATAACAGATACTTTTAATAGCTGAAAAGAGATTACTTTCACTAAAAAACATGAACTGGATGGGGTATAGTAGCCTGCAGACTATTCTTGGAAGGGCTGGTTGTGGCTCATTCTTAGGAACAATTATTTTCCAGTACCTCTTTTGATTCTTTTGGGTTTTTTCTTTGCTATATCAACTGATTTATCTTGTTTTCTCTCATCACTTTCCCTCTTTGAAGACCTTTCTGGTTTCAAAGGAGTGTCCTTCCTCACACTTCTTTCCAGTCTGGCTTTCTAAACCCATGTCAAAGGCCAAGGTGTGGTTTTTGAGACCAAATTCTCCAAAGAAGCTGAGAGGATCAGCACTCACTTGGTTATCTTTCGGTAGACCAAAGCTGTACTGAATTGATAAGGAGTAAAAGCCCAGCTGGATGACTGCAGGTAAGTGATTTTAGATTGCCTGAAGGTTTGGATACAGACTTCTATGACAGCATCAAGAATGGAATTCCCACATTACAAGAATTAAAAGAATAAAATTCCCATAGGTTTAACTCAAGCACTAATTATAGGCATTTCTGCTCATTAAATATATAGGTACATCTTCAGCTGCTTTGCTTTTTGACAGCATTTCTAGTGGAGCTTTGGCTATAAGATCCCATGTTACTCACTTGGTTTGATTTTTGGCCAGTCAGCTGCTTCTATCCTGTGGTCTTCGTACGTCTTGCCCGAGTAGGCAAACAGGTAGCGGCTGATTTCTGCTCTCCCGCGCAGGTTGAAGTATGTCAGTTTGTACTGCGGCATGCTGAGCCCTGACAGGGGAGACACCAAGCTGCTTTAGACAGGGGTAACCCAACTCCCTTTTACACAACACCATCTGCCTGTTTTGGAAAGACATGCTTGTACAATGCAGAGGGCATATTACACCAAGCCATGGTGTGTTGTACTTTGCAATCACTGCATCAATCACAGCTTTTTGCTCTGCATTTGTCAGCCACAATATGCAGACGTGGACAATGACAGTTGAACCTGCAGTTCCTCCTCGTGTATCTCTAGAAAGGTGGTTTGATTTTTTTTAGTCACATTAGGGACTTTCATCTTTCATCTTGTGACTCCAAACTCAGGCCATTTTTATGAAATGGTTTTTTTTTCAGAGTGCAAATCTAAAATCATATACTGTAGCAGAAGATAGTTGCTGCCTTGAGCAGTAATTTTGTTCATGCCTGCCCTGCTCAGCCCCTATTGCTTAGGGAGACCTTCATCCTAGAGCAAATCATCAGACCTGCCAAACTGTTGTGATTTTTTTCATTAACTATTACCCTAGTTGTGTAGGCAATGGATTAAAATTATTTTAGAAGGAAAAGCTGCTATGGAAACCAGTCTACACTGTTATTTTGAGCAAATCATCACTGAATTCTCAGTTTCTTATACAGAAGCCAAAATATAATTTGAAATTACTTTGTTAAATTTTCATGTGATTTTTTTTCTCTAGTTAGGAATTATGTAATGGGAAGGCTCTGTTTGTTTCTCAGTGTAACAGGCAACAAATGAAAGTACTGGAGAGCTTGATTGTACTGCAAGGATGGTGCAGGAAAGGTGAACAGAGCTTTAAACCAAAAGTAAGCATTTAAATTCTGCACACATAGCACCTTAAGAAGATCTCTGAGCTCTGCTGAGATTTAAATGTGCTGGCTAAAGGAGAATAAAACAACCATCTGCCTCCTCACCCAAAGCCAGACCCTCTCTCCTTTTAGCCTTACAGTAGATCCTTCATGTGATTTACCATTCTTTTATATCCATCAGATTCAGAGTGTCAGTCAGAAATCACATGTCAGATCATCTGCACTAGGACAGAGAGGGAACTCTTTTTTTTGACTGAGTGTTACTACATAACCTTGCAATAGAAAAAAACCCTGTTTAGTCATCTTGCTTTGAAAAGACATGCTCGAAGGCAGCTGTATCACCAGCTTTTGCTTTAGAAGGGGAAGCTCTTTGTTCACAAATGGAAAGCTTGCAATGAACTCACATGGGAAAGAGCAGACTGCTTTTGCCAGTTGCTCCTCAAAAGTCAAAACATTTACTTTCTGTCCTCAGAAAGCAAAAAAACCCCAAAAAACCAATATAGCAAATGAACACAGTAGAAGATGCTTAATTTATTGTGAAAGTTATCTGTTCCCTTACAGCACACAGCAGGGTCAGGAGAGATTACTTTGCACATCAGTTGGCCCAGCAGAGAAGCAGGAACAGAGAAGGAGAGTTATCAATGGAGATATCTATAAGTCCTTCAAAACAAAGACACCACAACTATTACTGTTTTTTAAGTCCAGTGTGTTCCCTCACACTGTATAAGAGAGGGAAGCTACAGCCATCAGGATGTGATTAGTTTTTCAGATGTGTTAATTACCAGAAAATATGTTTGCCTGCTGCTTCAGGAGTGCAGATGGAAGATTACAGGTGTAACCATTTCTTTCTCTAAAGAGAGAAATTTTGACAATTCCAGATTTTTCATGCATGTTTTAGGTAAGTGGTAGAACTTTGCTGCCTCATTTTCAAATTTTGTAACCAGAGTCATTACTTGTTATGCTTTATTGTGTATATGATAATATTATGTAGGATTATATTATATTTATGCAGGATGAATTTGGATTGCATGTCTACAAAGTTAATGTATGAAGAGAGAATGAGATTGTAGTGGGATTTTTTCCCTTTTATCCATGCTTCTGATTTGGTGTGGTTATTTGAAAGTGAGAAATGGCACTTGTAAAAAATCATGTGTTACCTGAGATTCAGACTAGACATACAGTGATTTCAGAGTAAAAGGGAAAGAAAACCCCACTTGGTTCTTAATTTTCAGCGGGTTTTAGAGGCAAGAAAATACTATTGATTCAGTTTACCTCTGGAGAGTATATGGCCCTTAACATACAAAATCCAGTGTCTGCTTCCCTTCTTTAGGAGTGTCCACAGAGCTTTTTTTTACAAACATCCATAGCAGTTCCAGTGCCCTGGAATTTCTACATCACTCATGCATGGCTCCATTATCTCAGCTACCTCTAGCCCGCTCAGCCCTCCATTAGCAAAAAGTTGTTGGCAGCTGAAAGGCATTTAAAAGGACAAGAATAGAAGATTCAAAGGCACAGTGAGAGGGAGGGAGGAGACAGCTATATATAGAGCAGGCTGGAGATGACCCATGCCCAACAGTTCTGTAGGTGAGTATGTTGAAAGAGTCTATTACTGTGGAAGAACTTTGTATACAAAGACATGTCTAACCAGGAGTAGTGAGATGATGTAAAGAACAGGGAATTTTGGCTGAAGATCAGGAAGTCTCTGGCTGTTATAGTAGACTGTGGAATATTTTGGTCTTTCAAGGAAGCAGCGGAAACGATTGTTTGAATTGTTTAAAGCAAAGCTAAACAAATTTCTAGTGAACACACCATAAGGAGTAATCAAATATTTGTAGTGGTCATGCACTTTTAAGCTTAGGAGCTTTTTTCCATCCGTGAACAAAAAACCCAAACCCAACCCTACAAGGAGTTTACCAAAAATACTTGACATTTTTAAAAGCCTTTATAGCTTTATTGTGAGCATGTTTTGTAAATGTTTGTAGGTTTTATTTTTTATTTGTATTTATTGTGAAATGTCAGGAGTAGTGCTTCCTAAACAATTGCAGGTATGTTTCTAAATTAAAGAAATGGTTGTGTTCAGAATAGCTTTGTCAAATATACAAAGTATGTTGGGTTTTTTTCCTTGTCCTCCCTTACCTCATTTTCCCACTGTGTTTTGTGAAGGAGTGGATCGTGAGGAACAAATTATAACAATTCAAAACCATCCAGAATTATTGAGTTATTGAAAAATGTCATTTGTAGAGGAAAAAGGTCTATTTGGCGTCTTAGAGTTTATGCTTTTGGGGTTTTCGGGGGGGTTTTTTTGGGGGGGAAGCAGGAAAATCTTTAAAACTCCTTAAAAGTATTTCTCTTTTTTTTTTTTTGGTTTAGTCATGGTTTAAAAATACTAGAAGATGGTGGTGGTGGGTTCAACTCAGTGCCCAGACTTGCATGCATTTGGCCACTTGCTTAGTGCTAATCAATCTGTTCAGGTGAGTTCATTAAAAATCTCAGTATGTATAAATGCAGGAGGGAGCTCATTTACCTTCCACCAGCAAACCTGCCACCTCAGCAGTGTTTTCTCAATGTCTAATTGATGAATACATGGCCAGGACCTCCCTGCACCCCTGCCCTGTCCTACACTGACAGCACCTGAGCAAACCTCAGTCCCAGTTTTATCGCATTTCACTTTAAAAGCTGTGAACTCAACTGGTTTAAATTTGCTATTAAATTAGCTTTAATGCTTTAAAGTTGTTGACCCGCTTAGCTGATTTTCTAGCTTTCCTCTGTGACTTTCTGAGAGCCAGCTTAACTGGCTTTGACATACCTTGAAACAGAAGATTAGTAGTTCTCATGATTAAACTCAACTGTCGGAGCCACTCAGTGATAAAATCCATTGGGAAATCTGAGCAAAGGTCAAATACGTGCAGAAAGTGGAATCCTCCATGTTATTCATGAGTCAAAATGGGTGGATTTAGAAGTGTCTAAGATTCTTAGCACAAATTTTAAATATTTTAAAGCTGTTCATGGCTTTATGGAGATACCTGATGTACTTGGGATGCATCTATTTCAGTTGAATCAGGACTGAACAATCAATTTGAAAACTTCAAGCAAGTTTAGAGTGAAAAAACAGAGCCCAGGAAGGAATCAGCACCATTCACTGAGAACTAAAACACTGAGTTTCAGATAGCACTGCAGAGAGAGTAAGTGCTGGCAGACTGGAAACTGCTCGGGATGTGTTTTGCATGTGTCCCAGTGCAACCCAGAGCAGGCTGCAGAGGCTCTGTGTGGCTCTGCATGCCCAGCCTCAGCCACTCCCCTGGAAGATTCAGCCCCAAAACTGTGCTGGACTTTGTAGAGGAAATGTGTTTCATCTCTGCTTTGGGAAATTCAGCCCTCAAGGTAATACAAGGAAATATTCTTCAGGCTGGTAACAGATATCAAAACCTGGATGCAGACACTCAGTATGTGGATTCAGAGGAAAAAAAAATTAAAACCCACCAAAACAGCAAACAAACAAAAAACAAGAGGCAGAACTTAATTACATTTTCTTGTATAAGGTTATTAGTACTTGAAGTGACAGGCAGCAGAGCTTTCCCTGAGCTGGGGCAGAGGAGGAGTAAACAGCTGAGACTGACAAAAGGCTTGTGGTGCAAAGTCCCCTTGAATTGTACTTTGCACTGCAAGAAATTAAGGGTTTTCTTGTCTGAAGGTTTCATCCCTGTTAGAGCATTTTAAAAAGCCCAGCTGTTCCCTCCAACAAGCAAGACCAGTAGGTTTGGGTGCTCATCTGGGTGTTTCTAAAAACACAGACTTGAACTGTCTGCCTGGAAGAGATGATACATTGCACTGGATTTATATTTATTTAACATGAAGGTTCTTCATTAATTTAGGAGTCACTTATGGAAAGCACCACAGTTAGCACCTGGCACAATGCTGCCCCAGCTGTGGGTCTGTCAGAAAGGGGATGCTGGAGGTCTCATCTTGAGTGTCATTGTCCTCTCTTGGACTGCAGCCATACCAAGATGTGGTACCTGAGGGAGCTCTCTTTCATTCTCCTGTGCTCATACAAATTAGCTGTGAACTCAGGGCCTGTGGTCAGCCTGCCTGGAGACTGAGATGGGCCTCAGCATCATCTGGAGGAAAGCCAGTGCTTCCTGAAGGGTGTGAGAAGGGAAAGTGTCCCCATGTCTGATGAGGAAGCTAAAAA